GGTTTCTCCTGTCCTTTTCCTGTGCATTTTTTTGGATAAAATGAGTACTGTGTAGTGCTGTGTCCAGCTCTGAAATCCCCAAGACAAGAAGGACACGGGCCTATTTAAGTAAGTCCAGAGGAGGCCACAAGGACTATCAGAGGGCTGGGAGAGTTGGGGTGTTCAGCCTGGAGAAGAGAAGGCTCCAGGGAGACCTTAGAGCACCTTCCAGTGCCTGAAGGGGCTACAGAGGGCTACTCTCTACTGGGCAGAGAGTTTTTACAAGGGTATGGAATGGCGGGACAAGAGATAATGGCTTTTAAACTGGAAGAGGGGGAGATTTAGGTTAGACATCAGGAAGAAAGTATTTCCTATGGGAATGGTGAGACCCTGGCCCAGGTTGCCCAGGGAAGCTGTGGCTGCCCCTTCCCTGGAAGTGTTGAAGGCCAGGTTGGATGGGGCTTGGAGCAGCCTGGGCTGGTGGGAGGTGTCCCTGCTCATGGAACAAGATGGTCTTTAAGGTCCCTTCCAACCCAAACCAGCCTGGCATTTGATGATTCTATAACCCAGTGAACTGAATTGGAATGTGGTTCAGGAGCATTCCTGGCACCTTGTGCCAAGGTACCAAGGACAACCACAGTGCCACAAGGCTGTGATGAGCTCTGCAAGGACCCAGTCTTTCTCCTCCTCCCTGCCCCAAGCTTTCTCATCCTTTCAAAGCTCTAACACCTTTCATCTTCCACCTTTCAGGCTCCCTTTTTCTTGCACACAGAGCCCCATGGCTTCTGCCTCTGCTGCATCAGGCTGCAGATGGCAGGGAGCAGCTTCCCAAAGTGACAGCCACCCGCGCTGACCCCGAGGACATGTGGCACTGAGCTCATGTCTGCCACGACTGGCTGGAGCCTGCCCTCCCACTGCCAGCACAGGCATGAGCTCACCCCTTCCACAGCCAGCCTAGGGGGTGGCAGGGAGTGGGCAGCCCAGGGTTTTTGCTGGAAGGCTGTTGCCACCAGCATCATCATCACATGCCCATGAGTGTTGTCACAGCTTGGGCTCCCACTGATGGGTAGTGGTGTGGGACGACCACAGTGCACCCCACCAGCCACGTCATAGAATCACAGGATGATTTAGGTTGGAAGGGGCCTTTAAAAGCCACCTAGTCCAACCCCCCCAGCAGTGAGCAGGGACATCTTCAACTACATGAGCTTTCTCAGAGTCTTATCCAACCTGACTGAATGTTTCCAGGGATGAGGCTTCTACCACCTCTCTGGGTAACCTGGGCCAGTGCTTCACCATGTCATTGTAAAACTTGCCTCCTTATATCTAGTCTGGTGACCTCCAGGCAGAATGGTCACTGTCTGCCTGTCCTGGTGCCACTAGTCCCTGAGATGGGAGTGGTGGTGACAGAGAGGACATGGCCCATGTTCCCCCTGGGATTTGCACATCTGGTGCTGTGGGTGCCCAGTGTGGGCTGCTCCTGTGGGTGCTTGGGGCAGGACAGCTGGTTCCTGGGGCTTTGGGGCAGTGGGGCTCCTTCTAGCCAGCCCCACGTCCAGGCTCCACCAGCAGGACAGGACATCCCTGGCTGACATTGGCTGCTGCTCTGCTGGAGGCTGGGAGAGGCTACGCCCTTAAACAAAATGCACTTAAAATCATATAATTACAACCATTATTAACACTGTTTACTAGGCCAAGATCTGCAGTACTGGAAACATTAAAAGCTAGAATATGCAGAAACCACAGCCTTATAAACTACCCAGTGGATTTGCTTGTGCTTGTTGCAGAAGGAGGGATAAAATGAACTAAAATGAAGTTGTCTTTTGCTCATCCATCTTCACGTGCCTTCAAAAAAAATTTCTCATTTACATTGGTTTCATGAGCTGGGCCTGGCCAGCTCTAACTCATCCCTTAGCAGAACTTCAGCCTCTTCCATGGAGTTGGCTGGTACATGGGTTTGTGACATTGCAGCCCCACTTAGGGTGAACCACCCAGGTGGTTCATCCCACCTCCTTGATGGCTGCAAACACATCCCATGGCTGGGGCAGGCAAAGCTGCCATCCCCTGCTGCCCTCTTTGCAGTAGATAGGTAACTAATTAGTGACAATAACTGATTATGGTTGAGATAAAGTTATCTGGGCTGCACTGAGGCTACATGCAGAGGAGGTGGGACCTCCTCCCACCTCTCCCCACAGGATGAAGCTTTGCCTTCAGGGCCAGCTGGCAGTTGGTTGCTCCTACCTTGAGGGCACGACATCTGAGGGTGTTGTTTTCAGCTATCAGTTGCTCCTGCAAAGTTTAGCTCTAGATAAATCAAGAGTATTTCACTGAGGCCAGATGACTCATAACCACAGGGCAGGAAACTCTTTTATCTCCGGGGCAGCCAGTTTAATATAGATAGATGTTCACTCCTGAGCGCTGAATAATTTCCGTCTCTTTACTTCTCATTAAAAGCAAAACAGATGAGGGAAAATAGTGAGAAATTTCTCTGTGTCGCCTCCATTTCTAGCATCTCTGAGAGAACTTCCTCCAAATTCTGCAGCCAACCTGTACTGGATCCTTTGACACATATTTTAATTGGCAGAAAAAACTGCTTTTGCTCCAAAGCACGACTCCTCTTTGTAAACCTTGATTTGCAGGCATGGATGAAGCAAGGATGTGTCACAACAGGGTCTAACCCAGCTTCCAGAGGGGTGCTTTTGGGGTCTTCCCTTCTTTGCTGTTACGGGAGAGCATTGTTGAAAGGGAACCATAGAGGAACTGGGCACCTTGTTGAGGAGTGTTCTAGAAGAGCTCTTCACCTCCAAGCAGCAGCTGGGGTGGGAGAGGACCTGGGCAGTGAGGAGCTCTTGTACAGAAGAGAACAGGCAAGGTTTTGCTGGAGAGTGTCTCGAGTTGGTTATTTCTCTTTCCTGGGTATGCCAGCACTTTCCTTCTTGGGCTTGGTCCATGAGTCAGGACCTGCCTTCCTGGGTGCCTCTCTTGCACAGGAATGAGTGGCTTTTTTCTCTTGATTTCTGTCTATCAGTGACAGCAGAGCTGCCTGATGCTTTTCTGCCCTTTTGGTATCTGGGGTCGTGTATTTGCCACCTGTAGAGGCTTGTATGTGCTGTGTGCTCCTCATGCCCCTTGGCATGAGGAGATTTCAGTGCTGGCCATGCCACAAGCTGCTCCATGTCCATGATGAAACATGATGTGCTCAGGCTGGCACAGCTGTAAGCTGAGGACTCCGTGTCCAGAGCTGAGTAGGTCCCCGTGAGCCCAGGGCTGGTTCTCCAGCCCTTCCCTGCATTTTGCAGGTCTCTCCCCACAGGTGATGCCCTCCTGGCAAAGAGCTTCTCCTCTTCCTCCCCACCAGAACCAGAAGGATCCATCTATGTGCATCTCACTGGCCTCTGCAGGGTGGTTTAGGGATGTCTTGCCACCTGAAGCCCACACAGTTGGTGTCCTCTGTCTGGTTGGTAAAGCCCTGCATTCAGATAACCCACATCCCTGGAGGAATCCAGGGCAGCAACTTGACACTGTGGCTAGGGCCACACTCCAGACCTCCAAATCCACAGGCTGAAGCCAGTGAGATGAGTGATCAGCAGCAGCCAACCTCCCCATCATTTTCTGCTTTTAAATATCACAGCTATAAAAGGCTAAATCATTACAGGACTTTTGCAGCCCACTGTGCCTCTTCATCTGAAATCAGGGTGATGAAGAGCACATCTCGAGGTTGTTAATAATATCCTGCCTCCTGATGAGGGCTTTATAAACATCATCAACCCAGGACCAGCTTTGCAGTAGCATTTTGACATGATCTTTTAGACAACTGACATGGTTTTTGTATTACACTCGATATTTAAACAAATAAAGTGATAGGAGGAAGACCTTGCCCTTAAATATCTGACCTTATACACAGGGGTATGAGGTCAAAACTGGGAGAAACTGTGTCTAGTGTAGTGGTGCTCAATGCTCTTCAGACCTGATGCTCCTTGTCTGAGCACTGTGCCATGGGCTGTGGCAAGGAGGGAATGGGATGTTTGACGCTAGTGAAGCCCTTGGTGCTGTGAGGGATGACTCATGGGGAACAGTCCCACACAACAGCCAGGCCACCCTGAGGATGAGGTCTTTGTGGGGACATGAGTGTCACAGCTAGAGGGAGAGGGGCAGGTCCCCCTCTGGGAAGCCAAGAAAAGGTGCCAGGTTTCCTAGGGACTTGTACGTGTTTATCATGGTTATTTAAGATAGAAATCAAAAGCAGTGTGGAGAAAAGGTTTGGCAGCTTAATTGTTGTGGAGAGACAAGGTGAGGAGCAGCTGTGGAGCCTGGGACTGTTGGTGAGCAGGAGACTGGGGGTCACTGGTACTCATCAGGACCTGATGTTTTCTCAAGGCCTTTTGTGCCTTCCCTGCTTCCACATTCCTTTCAGAGGGTGCCCTTTGCTGGAATAAAGACCCCAAGGAAAGTCACGTTCCAAAGAGGGCTGAGGAATGGTGATAAGCACAGGAGACAGATTCCTGCTAGAATGATGGGTGTGGAGGGGGTGTGCAAGGCCACCCCAAACTAACTGCACGGTGGGTGGGGGATTTTTGTCCCTGCATCCCCACTGCTCAAGCTGTCTGGACAACCCCAGGTAGGAGCTGGGTGGTAGAGACTGGGGGCAAGGAGAGGTTTTGCTGGTGTCATGAATGGAGACAGGATGCAGAGCTGAGCAGCCTGAGGTTGCTTGGGGCTGGATGACAGTGTGGGGCTAGACTGGCCCTGTTGGGCCAGAAGGAAGCGTCTCACCCACAGGGTTTGTATGAGCTCCTCAGGACTTCCACAGGGCTCACAGCAGCAATGGGAAGGAGGAACGGACGGGCCCAGATGATGGCGAGTGGGTGAGGGCACTGCTGGCACCAGCGTTCATGGAGCAGCCACTTGTATCAGCGCTGCCCCAGCGCTGCTCTGCCTCTCCTGCCTCGTGACTGGTCCCAGCACTCCCTTTCTGGCATGTCCTCCCATGCCTCATCCCCCACAACCTCCTTGCCTTTTCCCAGGTCATCCTCCCCTAAAATGACGCAGCAGATGCGGGACCTGCAGCTGGGCAAGGCCAGGAAGCCTCCGGGCCCTTCCTCGCCCAACGCGGCCAAGAGGCTCTACCGAAACCTGTCGGGGAAGTTCCGCGTCAACTACACGTCCTTCGATGAGGGCAGCCTGGTGGGACGGGCCGAGAAGGAGAAGCTCCGCAAGTCCTACCTGGTCAGTGCCCTCTGGCTCCATCCACAGCTGGCAAGATGGGGATGGAGGGTCCATGCACGGGTGATGTTGATGTCTGGGTGGAAGCTGTGGGTGGGGGTGGTCCTGGTGTTTGCTCGGCTTCATCTGGCTGTGCCTGCAAAGAGCCGGTGCTCCTGAGCCCCTGGGGCCAGGGAAGCCCCCCCTGTCTGGGTTTGTGGAGCATTGGTGAAGGGCTGGGGTGTTGGGTGGGCGGGAAGAAGGGTGCCTGATGTTCAGCCAACCAGTCTCTCTCTGTCCAGTTCCAGAGCAATGCTGCCCTCTTTGAGGCTGTGGAGCTGCAGGACCTAGACAGAGTCCAGGAGCTGCTGAAGCAGTACAGCCCTGAGGAGCTGGACCTGAACACCCCCAACAGTGAGGGGCTGCTGCCCCTGGACATTGCCATCATGACCAACAACGCTCCCATCGCCAGGGCCCTGCTCCAAGCAGGAGCAAAGGAGAGCCCGCACTGTGAGTCAGTGCTGAGGAGCCCTGCCATGCCCATCACCTGAGCCTCCAGCCTGGTGGAGTGAGGCACCCCAGGAGCAGGGGCTGGGTGGGGAGGAGATCAGCTGGGCTCTGAGAAGCTGGTGTGGGCTGGAGCTGGGGCTTGAGCGGAGCCACGAGAGCAGGACACAGAGGGGAGGACGGGGTCTCGGGGTGGGGACGTGGTGCCAACAGACCCTGGGCTTGCCCTAACTGCCTTCTCTTCTCTCCCGGGACCCGTGGCCCCCCAGTCGTGAGCCTGGAGAGCCGCTCGCTGCACGTCTCCACGCTGGTGCGGGAGGCAGAGCAGCGCGTCAATGAGCTGACGGCGCAGGTGGTGAACGAGGCGCCCAACGCCGACTGCTCCGAGAAGGAGAAGCAGCTCAAGGCCTGGGAGTGGCGATACAGGCTTTACAAGCGCATGAAGGCAGGGTTTGAGCATGCCCGTGAGTGCCCGTAGCAGGGGCTGGGGGGGCAGGGGGGCAGCCCCTGAGCTGGGGGAGGAGCGGGGCCATGCGAGCTCCAGGCTGTGCATGGTCCATCCAAGGATCCCCACGCCCTGTAGCCAGGGCTTTATGCCCTGTGTGTTGGGTGCACGGGGGGGTAAGTGCTCAGGGACATGTCCCAGGGCTTGGGGGGAGGCCCAGGAGGGACACGGAGGGGTTCAGAGTGACCGTCCTCGCTGTGATGGTCCCTGTGCTCTCTGTCCCCAGGAGTGCCAGATGCCCCCACCAGTGTCCACCTCTCGGTGGCCAGCAGCTCCTCGGTGCAGGTGACCTTTCGGGAGCCCCTGAGCGTCAACTCAGCCGTTGTCACCAAGTACAAAGGTAAGGAGCAGAGTCCCCACATGCAGCCATCTTAAGTGTGTCAGTGGGTGTGCTGGGAAACTCACTCCATATCACACCAGCATGCCAGGGACATGGCCACTGCTGCTGAGCTCCCATCAAGCCACCTTTGTGCTCAAGTACAGGAGGAGTCAGGGCCACATGCTGGAGAGCCCAACCACCACCCAAACAGTCTGAGCTGGATCAAAGCACTGTCCTGCACCAAGGCAAAAAGCAGGGTGTCACTTGTTTGCCACCCCCTCATCCTGCTGTCCTTTGCTGTCCTGCCATTCCCTCACCCTTTACCGACTTACTTTTTGGCTTCTGGGAGGATTTCATCCATCCCCAACTCCTGACCCATCATTTTAGGGCACTGAGCCTGCCTGACATGGCCAGGTGAGGAGCTCCTCTGTGCTGTCCCCCAACCACGTCTTCCCCTCTCCCCTGCGCTCACTCTGCTCCTCCAGTTCTGTTGCTGTCCTGCTGGCCCTGCTGGGCTGCTGCCAGCCCTGGTAGCCCAGCCCTACTCTGGGGCCTCAGGGCACCTTGGGCTCTCTCTCCTTCCAGTGGAATGGAGCTGCTCTCCCACCTTCTTGCCGCTGCTGGGGGAGGCCATCATCGACAAGCTGAAGAACCTGCACTACACAATCCAGGGGCTGGTGTCGGTGAGCTCTTGGGGTCTCCCGTGGGGGTCTGGGCTCAGGGGGAGAACCCACAGCTGGGAAAAGCCTCTGGCCACTGTGCGTGGGGTCATTCCCTGCAGTGCTGAGGGGAGTGGCTGGGGCATCATTTCGATCCAGAGGAGCAGGATTGTGCCACGGTGCTCAGCACAGCCTGGGAGAGGCATCTGTCTGTCCCTGCGTGGCTGTGGCTGCCCTGGCCAGGGGGAGACCCCCTGCACGAGGTGCCTGGGGACTGACAGACAGAACAGGGCCATTCATCCCACGCCTGATTTATCCCCTGTCCCCCACCCCGCTCCTGTCTCCACCCTGGGCAGTAAATCACTGGCTCGTTCTTTGCCGCCTGCACAGACCGACCCCCTGCACCAGCCTGGCGCTCATTGGAGAGAGGGACCAGCCCTGTCCCCATCTCCAGGAGCTCAGAAGGTCACAGGCTGGCTGGGGCAGCAGCTTCCCACTGTTTTATCTCCCTGAGAATCACAGGGGACACGCTGCCTGTCACCTGTCCTTTCCCAGGGGCTGCCAGCCTGTCCTTGGCAAACATTGGCCTGGTGGGGGTCAGTGGGGTGGGATGGGGACCATGGCAGGATGGGGACTGCAGTGGGATCTGGACTGTGGCAGAATGGAGCTTGGGATGGGAATACAGTGGAATGCTGGAATGGGTGGGCTTGGCCTTACCAAGGGGTGCAGCAACAAAGCTCCAGGACAGGCAGGGACTCTTGGCTCCAGGAGCAGGGAAAGCCCTTGGTGCAGTTAGAGGGGCTTGGCCATGGGGGCAGTGCGGGAGCCCTGAAGCTGCTGTGGGAGCAGGAGAGCTGCCCTGGTGCAGGCAGGACAGGGCTCAAGGGCAGCCTGGAGCTGCTGTGGCAAGGAGCCAGCCTGAGCCCATCCATCATGCTTTCAGAGCTGCCTCACAGGCTCCTGTCCACCTTCACGAGTGCCTGGAGGCCTTGTAACATCTGGCAGCTTGACTGAGCTTTAATCAGAGGCCTTTAATCACTTTAATCTGCCACAAGCCCTTGACACTGTTGGGCCAGCTCCTTCTCTCTGGGGACTGGACCCTTGCAGGAAGGCAGCAGCACCCCAACCCTCCAGGCTGTGGAAGCCTCATGTCTTTGGGACTGGAGCATCTCCTGGCAAGGGGCACTTGCAGTGTACTTTCTTTCCTCTGCCCTCCCCCCCCCAAACCAGCCAAATGGGATGTGGGGATTCTCTGGTTCCTGATAACAAGAGGTTTGTACAGCTGGGGTTAGGTCAGACCCAGCAACCCAGGGTGTGGGCTACCAGTTTAGTACTCTTCATGGTGTACTGGGCTACAGGGGGATCCTCCTTCCCTCACATGCCAAGCTGGGAGAGGTTCTGATGCACTGAGTATGGCTTCCCTTCTCACAGGGCACAGCGTACTATGTCCAGGTGTCTGCCTACAACATGAAGGGCTGGGGACCCCCCCAAGCCTCCGTGCCCCCTTTTGCCATCCCTTCCAGTAAGTACCGCTGGGAATGCCTGTGGGATGGATGGGGGAGGCAGCAGTTCTCTGTGCCAGCTGAGTATCCCTGTCACTGCTGGAACAGGGTCTGGTGGGATGGATGAAGGGAATTGGCAGGTCCCTGTGCCATCCAGGGATCCCTCTTGCTGCTGGGATGGGGGACCTGAGAGCAGAGGCAGCATTTGGAGTCTTGGGCCAAGCAGACAGGCTATGCCTGGGACCCGAGGGTGCTGCCAAAGCTCCAGCTGATAGGAGCTTTGCCAAATACTCATTTTTCAACCTGAAATTCTCCTGGCTGCCTGGTAAAGACTGAGCCATTTTAGGCAGCCTGGATCAGCTCATCCTAAAGAGGAAGCCAGGAGAGAGGATGCTTTGCTTTCTCAGTTGAGAGGAAAGCCAAGCAGCCACCTCCTCTGTGGGAATAAAAAGGTTTTTTTAGCAGAGGTTTGTAATTTAGCACAGGGCAGCTTTTGAGAGGGCTCAGTCCTTACCACCTCAATGGCATCTGCCCCAAGGCTTGTGCAAAATCCACATGCTTGGGGGGGGGAACATGGTAGGATGTCCCAGCTCAGCCCCTGGAGATGCCCTCAGGGCTCAGAGCCATCCTGGTCCTGGGTGCAAATTGGCCTGGATATCGTGTGCTCTTGCCCATCCAGCACAGCCATGGGCACCTGTGTTCCCTGGCACTGACCTGGGATGGGGTTCACAGGCCCCACTGGAGAGCAGCTCTGGGCTGTCAGCACCCACTTCCCCAGGCTGGCACCAGAGCAAGTGTGGGGAAAAGCCACCCAGTTTTGCAAAAGGCACATCCAGGCATTGGGGGAGATGGGCCAGAAGGACCCAGCTGGAAGGGGCAGTCCCTGAGGGTAAAGGTCAGAGCTCAGTGGACACTGAGGTGGCCTCTGGCCCCACTGCTGGTCCCAGATGGGTCTTTGTTGCATGGGGGTCCCACAGGATCAGAACTTTAAAGCCCCTTTGCCATCCCACTCTGGTCACATTCACCCCATGGCCTGGAGACAGAGTGTGAATGAAGGGAATCAGACAGGAGGGGGGTTTATTTATTTTTATCTCCTTTAGTATTTCTCCCTTCAGTAAAGATCCCTTCCTGACTCAGCAGAATATAGTCAGACACTTCCCTGTGTGTTTTTAAAAGGTCCTAAAAATAGTGGTGAGCCCCAGCCAAAGTTAACAGAGCTGAACTTTCCACAGAAAACAGCAGCAGGCAGGACACAGGGGGTGTTCAAAGCAATTAATGTAAAGCTAACGCAGAAGCACCAGCGGGTCCCCAGCCCTGCTCCTGCTCCTTCTGCTCCTGCTGCTGCTCCTGCTCCTGCTTCACAGCGGGTGGAGCTGCCAGAAGAGCTCTTTCTGTGTTTGCTGAGGTGAGCCCAGCTCTCAGCACTCTCTTGGAGGAAGCTGCAGCTCTGGGGAAGACCTGGAGGAAGACACTAAAAAGACTTATTTTTTAAGGCTGGTAAAGTGTGGCAGCAGAAGATGAGAGCTTGTTCTTTCCCCCTGCTGTGTCCCCACCATGCTGTGGTGTGACTGGTGCCCCTGGGGTGCTGTGCAGAGCCAGGGTTCTCCGGGGAAGAGAGGTGCAAAAACCAGGGATCTCCTAAAACTCAGCCCACCCAGAGGTGCACAGCACCCATGACTGCTGCCATGCTGAGCCCGTGGGGCACGCAGGTGGGGTACTAGGAGGTGACCTGCTGTGGGCAGGAGGGGGTGGAAATCCTTGTTTCTTCCAGGTGGAGAGGTGGGTGCTGGGGGTGATGGTAGGGTGCTGGGGGTGATTCTGGTCTGTCCCCCCAGACTGGCGGGAGTACGATGGCCGGGCCCCACGGCGAAGGGGACAAGCAGAAGCTCTGGACCATCTGCTGGGCCAAGTAAAGACAGTCCACCAGCACTGCATTTGCCATGGTGAGTGCATAGCAGGGAGGCTGGGGATCCATCTGGGCTGGGGGCCTGGAGTAGCACCAGGAGTCATTTTGTCCCAGTGGTGAGTGTAGCAGGGAGACAGCTCCAGCAGTGGAGACCTTGGCAGAGCCTTCCCAATGGGTGGTTGTGCTGTGCCTTGGGCTGCCAGCAAGACCCTTTCTGTCCTGCTGCAGCAACCTCTGCTCTCTGCTCCCCAGAGCCCTGCAAGAACCAGTCCCAGAGCAGGAAGCACTCCGTGTCCAAGAGCCTCAAGCACCTCTTCCACCCTGGCAGCAAGTTTCTCAAGACACTGAAGCGGTGAGAAGCTGGTGTGCTGGTGGGTAGCCCAGCTCCCAGCAGGGACACGGGGCTAGGCCAGAAGCTGTGAGCATAGGGTATGGACTGGAGGGTGCTCAGAGGTGGGTCCTTGCCTGGAGCAAGCTGGTGGTGTCCATGGAGATGAGTTGCATTGCCCAGAAATCAAACGATTCTCTTTGGTGTTTCCATTTGGACCAGCCAAGCTGTGCCCCCTACCCAGATCCCTGCACCATCTCTGAGCATCACCCAATACCCCACCCTGCTCCAGACCCCACCACACTCCCACTACCCACCTTCACACTTGGCCTCCAGACACCCCAGGGTCTCCTGCACAGGCCTGGCCACATCACCCTCCCTTGGGCTGGCCAGGGCAGCATCACCTGTGCCACTGGCCAGGCTCACTGTTCTGGTAGCCCCTGCTCCTGGGCTGGCCACGTGTGTCTTCTGAGACCTGGGACAGGGCACCTCTTCTGCCCTGGGGAGAGATACCCTTTGGTAAACAAAGTCGGTGGCTGAGGGTGACACTGAAGAATGTCTTCTCTCCCATGCAGGGGCCTCTACCTGACAGCCATCTTCTACAAGGATGACAATATCCTGGTGACCCATGAAGACCAGATCCCTGTGGTGGAGATTGATGACACCTACTCCTGCTTGCTCATGCAGGATTTTCTGTGGTTCACCAAGGTGGGTGGCCCAGGGGCCAAGTGATGTGTCTCTTGACACACCTCTGGCAGCCACCTTGGATGCTGCTGAGATGATGGCCACCACCCCGGGCACTGTCCTCCAGGGGTGTCATGACCTGCGGAGCACCTTCCTTGCAGCACCTTCCATGGTGCTGGCCATGCAGGCAGTGGTGCCTGTTGTGCCTGGGGCACTGTGGGGCTCTCACTGGGGTTGGTTCAGGCTGGGAGCAGCACCAGGGGACATCCCACATGCACAAAATGAGCAGAAGCCACTCCACCTGCTCCCACCAGGTGACACAACATCTGCAGCTTCTGGGCTTCTCCACATTTCCTCCAGGACCTCCTCTTTGCCACCTCCCTCGTTTGCTCCATGGAGTAGAGCCCACAGGCTTGCCACTCCCTGAGGTCCAGCATGGACCCAGGAACCACCAGGAAACAGCGTTTCCACCCCGGCCCCTGGAAGCCCAAAGGTGGGCGATGACCTTGGTGGGCACTGCCTCTCCAGAGGGACACCAGAAGCTTCTCAGCTGTTTCACTGCTCCTCCACTGTAGGATGTGTAGGGTGTTACTGCCTGCTCTTCTGCTGTCTGTAGGCTGAGGGAAAGGGCAGGTGGGCAGCTCAGGCCAAAATCTTTTGCTGGGTGGTCCTTATCTACTGATGAAGGCTGTCTTCTTCTTTCTCTTGGCTATTTCTACTCCAACTTAAGAAGGGCTCAGTCCTTGGTGAAAACACATGTCTGAGGGGACACAGGATTGTTCTTCCTTCGGTACAGGCTCTGGAGGCATCTCAGGGTGCTTTGTGGCACCCAAAGTTGCACTCCTGTGACATGTGCCCATGCCTGTTGCTATCCCAGCTCAAACTAAGGCCGATGGATTACCCCAAAACACCTTTGTGTGAGCGGGCAGTGGTGGCTGGTGGTGAGGACCCCTTGGTGTCCTGCAGGTGTCCTGCATGTGGGACGAGGTGCTGTGGCTCCGGCAGTGCGTCACCGTCTCCCAGTCGTCCTGCTCCTGCATCCTGCAGACACGCTTCAAGATGCTGCTGGCCATCTCACAAATGCAGGTGAGGGTGGGCCAGGGGAGAGGGGGGGTGAGCATTTTTGGGGGGCACTGTGGGCAGGGCTCCTTCGGGAGCAGCACACTGATGTGCCAGGCTCTGCCACTCCTTCCCACGGGCTCAGTCAGTGCCAGGACTGGGTGTTCCTGCCTTGTCCCTCCTGGCAGGACCGTGGCCATGGTGTAGTGAGGTGCCAGGCTTTGTGGCAACCTCCTGCAGAGGGGCTGGAGGCTGGGTGGGGCTTTGCCTGGTAGACTGGTTTCCAGCAGGCAGCTGCCCAGTTGCCCAGATCTGTGCCTCAGATGTCCTCTGACCCTCTGCTCTCTCCTGCCTTCCCAACCCCTTGCACAGGGACTGCTGGGCATCCAGGACCTGGGGCAGGTCTTCTTTGAGCCAGTCAAAGACAAACAAGGCAACATACTCATCGTCACCCTGAAGGAGGTGAAGACCAACCAGACCTTCGAGAGTGTCCGCTGGGTTCCTGTCTGCAAGCTGCAGACCAGCCGCAAGTCTGTGTCTTCCCCAGAGGAGCCCACTGCTCTGGACATGCTGCTGATCTCTGTCCAGGTGCTGCCCTGGTGCCATTTTTGGGGTGGGGGTGGCAATAGACTCCATGGTGGGACCACTAGTTGTCCCTGCTCCTCCTTGGGCTAGAAAGGCCATGGCAGAGCCTAGGCCACCACGGGTTTGGTCCTGGCTGCAGGCAGGGGGGAAGCAGAGCTCAACCAGCCTGTAAAAGTCCTGGTGCTTCGAGGGGAGACATCAGGCTGGTGGTGAGATGTCCCAGCAGCTCCAGGTTGTACTTGCTCTGCTGCTTCCCTTCTGCTGGCTGCACCAGGACAGCAAGCACCAAGAAAGGAGAGAGCCCCACTTCCAGGGCTTGCTCCATCCAGCAGTGCCTTCCTCCTCAGGACAAGCTCTCTTACCACCAGCGAAGCAGTCACGCCCTCTCCCCAGGCCTCTATCTGGGCTACTTGAAGCTCTGCAGCGCCGTGGATCAGATCCGAGTGCTGGTGCCGGAGCAGCTCCCCAACATCCTGTGCCACGTCAAGATTCGCTCCAACCCAAACATCTCCAGGTGGGGCTTGCAGGGTTGCTCACCCACAGCAGCCAGGCTTCTCTGGCCCATTCACCCCAAGAGCACCCATCATCTCCTGCTTCTGCTGTGCTGTCCCAGTCCCCCCTCTGCCTCTGTAGCTCCTGCATCCTTTGGGTGTTGCACTGCCTGGGGGAGGAACTGCAGAATAAACACAGCTCTCATGGTGATTGGTGTTCAGGTCCAGCCTGAGCTGCTCCCTCCTTCATGTGTCTGTCTCTGTCCTTCTCCAGGGAGGAGTGGGAATGGCTGCAGAATATGGTCGGTGTGGAGGAGCCTGTTCCTGTAGAGACAGAGGCTGAGACCTCCCAGAACCACTTGTTTCAGGAGCTCCAAGTGGCCATCAAGGAACTGGTGACCCTGGTCAACATCCCGTTGCAAGAGGTACGAGCAGGTGCTGAGGTCTGGGGCAGGGGCCGTGCAGCACCACTCTGGTCACTGTGGCAGGCAGGGCAGGCAGGGCAAGCAGGACCCCACAGTCCCTGCACCTTCTCTGGGACCTGAAGCATTGACAAGATTTTAGTCCCACACAAGTAGAAGGCAAATAAGTGGTGGATGAGCACCTGAAGCATCTGACTGCCCAGGGACAGTGTCCACGGGAGCTGTTTGTCTTACCCTCAACTGCATCTCCAAAGCAAGGATGGTGAATCTGGGTTTGCATTATTGTCTGTGCTTTGGTCCTGGGCTCAGCCCTTGCAGCATGAGGCCCAAATCTGCCCCTTCAAAGCAGGATGGTCCCTGGCCAGTGAGGGGATGGAGGTGCAGCCATCTGGGCCAGCCTGCATGGGAAGGAATCCCTCCTTCACCATGCTGAGTATTTGCTGGGAAAGTGCCCACCAGCCCAGTGCCAAGCACATGCTTCTGTCTGGGCAGCAGTGAGGACACTTCTCTGAGACCATTGCTGGTGATGTTTCTTCTCTGAAACCCTGTCATAGTGACTTTGATCAGCTTGGAGACTTAAGAGAAAGGGAGGTGCACAGATCATGCCAAGAGCAAGGATCCTCTGGTCAGGTGCTGAAACAACTGTGTCCCTTGGCTGTGGGTGATCCCTGGGGACTCCTCTGCCAATGAGGAGGGCCATGAGGACTAGATGTTCTTGAAGCCACTTGCCCCACACCCAGCAGCATTTAGGCTTCCAACAGCTGGATATTGTCCTGACGACATTTCCAGCTGTTACCTGCAGTGTCTTCTTGCAGGCCAAAGATTTCCGTCTGTACAGCCAAGAGGTGCTGGACTTTGGGGGCCAGGTCTCCTTCCTGCTGCTGCTGCCTCCATCAGATGACGTCTGCACTGCTCCTGGCCAGAACAACCCCTACACTCCTCGCTCCGGCTTCCTCACGCTGCCGCTGCAGATCTTTGAGCTAGGTGAGGAGGAGAAAGGCCAAGCCCATCCTTTTTGGTCTCCTTGCCCCCCGAGACCTCCCAAGAGCTGGGATAGGCAGTAGGGTGGGCTGAAGCTCTCTTCCCTCCTCCCAGGAGAGAAGGGATGTAGAGGGATGCTGAGGGGTCTCCAGGTGGGGTAGAGAAAAGTGTTGCCTCCTCCCTGTGTTGCATGAGTATGGAGGAGCCCCTCAGGATGTCCACAGCCAGGGGCCTGATATTTTTTTATCCTCTCCCCAGTCCACTTCTTCACCTACGACCGTGAATTCATCACCCAGTACTGCCAGGTGTCTGCCCTCCTGGAGCTGGAGTCACTCCTCTCTCAGCAGAGCCTCAGGGAGGCCTTCTCTGACACTGAGCTCTCCACTGCAAAGCAGAGGCACCAGCAGGTCCAGGACTACATCCAGGTAGGGATGGGAGGGATCCAAGCTCAATGGTGCCCATGGGACATGGCCAGGACAGTCATGACCTGGACGAGCTCCAGGAGCATCCCCACCAGGGGAAGACAGGGCTGGTCTTAGAAGCTGTGACCCTGTGGGGTTTCTCTGCCACGACAGGACAGGCAGCATCAGGCAGGGTTTCATCTAGCAGCTTCTTCCTGCAGCCATCACATTAAGAATCCCGATTAGAGACCTGGAGGCTCCTGCTGTGCAGGTCCCCACCTCACTAGAAAGGGCCTAGAAGTGCACGTTGGGATGGATGTGTGGAAGAGACCCCCACGCTGCCTGCTTGGCGGGCAGGTC